AAGGACTTGAATAGATATTTCTTCAGAGAGGATAAACAATTGGCCTATAAGCATATGGAAAGATGATCAACATCACTAGTCATCAGAGAAATGCACATCGCCACCACAAAGATACTACTTCATACATAGAGAGTGGATATTACACAGGAACAAATAATAACGAATAAGTATTGGCAAGGATATGGAGAAATTGGAACTCTTCTGCACTGTCGGTTTGCATGTAATATGGAACAGCCACTATAGAAAGATAGTAGAGCAATTCTTCAAAAAGTTAAAAATAGAATTATCATGTATCCTAGTAACTCTATTCCTTTCGAGTATATACTCAAAATAATTGAAAGCAAGAACTGGAACAGATATTTCTTCCCCAATGTCCATTAAAGCATTATACATAATATACAAAATGTAGAAGCAATACAAGTGTCCACCAGTGGATGAAGAATAAAGAAGATGTGATATATAAATACAATAGAATGTGACTCAATCTTAAAAAGGAAAGAAATTCAGAAACGAGTCACAATATAAATTAACCTGAAGAATATCATCCTGGAGAAACAAGCCAGCCACAGAAAGACAAATATTATATGATTTTACTTTTTATAGAATACCCAAAGTGGTCAAATTCATAGAGACAGGAAGTAGAATGATGGCTTCCAGCAGGTGGAGATAGAAAGGGATAGAGAGTCATTGTTTAATGGATACAGATTTCAATTTTGGAAAATGAAAAAGGCTCTGGAGATGAATGTTGATGATGATAGCACAACAGTGTGGATGTTGCCAGGTGTGGTGGCACTCACATGTAATCTCAGCCACTGGAGAGGCTGAGGCAGGAACCTTCAGAACTTTCGTGACACATTGTCTCAAAATAAAAAATAAAAAGGGCTGGGGAGGTGGCTTATTGGTAAAACGCCCCTGGGTTCAATCCTTAGTACTGAAAACAGATAAAACCCAGTGTGGATATCACTAAACTGTGCAGTTAAAAATGGTCAAAATGGTAAATTTTGTTTTTTTACCATAACTTTTGAAAATTAGTTTTCCTTTTCTGACGTGAGGTAGGCATATCTGTGTGCTCTCAGTTTTTCCCCCAGGAAAAATGTTTCTGACAACAAAGCAGGGTCTCTGTAATCTCAGTAATTATGTTTTGAGATACACTTTTTCATTGTAATTAGTGCATAATGCCACAAGATGTCACTCTCTAGCTGAAAAACAATTCCAAGTATGTTTTGTAGGTGACAATGACAAAGCTACAGGAAAAAAAATATATATATACTCTTCAGTGCTCTACCCCTACAAATATGCTTTTCTGCAAAAGAAAGGATTTGTTTCCACTTGTGAAAAGTATTAATAATTTACTGCTAATTATGAAATATTTGTTGCCATTTCTTTTGTCAATAGACCTTTATTTTGTTTATTAATTTATTTATATGTGGTGCTGAGAATCAAACCCAGTACCTCACACATGCTAGGCAAGCCTTCTACCACTGAGCCACAATCCCAGCTTCTTGTTACCATTTCTTAATTTTATAGGTAAAAAAAATTGGTTTTCATTATAAACTGAGCTGGTGTAATTAAGACCCAACTAACTTTGAAATTAGTAGTAATAAAATACAAAGCCATAATGTAAAGATCATTGACCACTGAAAGACAGATGTCTTATGACAATATCACCCAATGATATACAACCCTGAGCAAGTCATTTGATTTTTACCAACTCACTATCCTTAGGTCACTATACATCAGTATATATTTAGTATATAGCACTATATATTTAAATACATTATTCCAATGCTAAAATATTTCGGTTTTTATAGTAATAATTGGATTACAATTGTTCAAATACAATACCAATGACAGTTCAGTAATTTTAAAAAATACTATTTTCGGAAAAAGTGTGTAAAACAATTAGAGGCACAAACTTTTTTTAATTGTGGTTCTAGGGAACAATCAAACCCAGAATCTTGTGTGTTCTAGGCAAGTGCTCTCCTACTGAGCTACATTCCCAGTCTCTAATAAAAACTCTTTAAATTTTAAACATCATATTTATTACTGAGAAAATGTTTTAAAATAGATGGAATACATTGACATTTAAAACAATTGCTTTGTTTAGCCGGGAGTGGTGGTACACACCTGTAATCACAGCAGTTTGTGAGACTAAAGCAGGAAGATTGCAAGTTCAAAGCCAACCTCAGCAAGTTAGCAAGATCCTGTCTTAAAATTAAAAGAAAAAAAATGAATGAAATAAAAAGGGCTGTGGATGTAGGGATGTGGTTTGGTGGTTAAATGCCCCTAGTTTCAATCCCTAGTACCAAAATAAATAAATAAATAAACAAATAAACAGCTTTGAGGATTTTTTAAATTACTTATTTATTTATTTTGGTACTGCGAATTGAACCCAGAGGCATTTTGCCACTGAGCCACATCCCCAGCCCTTAGGCTGGCCTTAAACTTGACATTCTCCTGCCTCAGCACCAGTCAATGGGAGTGCAGGTGTGCACCACCTTACCAGGCCCTAAGAACATATTAATTATTATTTTTTAATTTTTTAATTCTAACTTGTTACATATGACCACAGAATGCATTACAATTCATATTACACCTATAGAGCACAATTTTTCATATCTCTGGTTGTATACAAAGTATATTCACACCATTCATGTCTTCATACATGTACTTAGGGTACTGATGTCCATTGCATTCCACCCTCTTTTCTACCCCCATGTCCCCTCCTTTTCCCTCCCACCCCTTTGCCCTATCTAGAGTTCATCTAATCTTCCCATGCTCCCCATCCCAACCCCACTATGAATCTATCTCCTTATATCAAAGAAAACATTTGGCATTTGTTTTTTTGGGATTGGCTAACTTAACTTAGCATTATATTCTCCAACTCCATTTATTTACCTTGCAAATGCCATGATTTTATTTTCTTTTATTGCTGAGTAATATTCCATTGTGTATATGGGCCACATTTTCTTTATCCATTCATCTATTGAAGGACATTTAGGTTGGTTCCACAGTTTAGCTATTGTGAATTGTGCTGCAATAAACATTAATGTGGCTGTGTCCCTGTAGTATGCTATTTTTAAGTCCTTTGGGTATAGACCTAGGAGTGGGATAGCTGGATCAAAATATGGTTCCATTCCTAGTTTTCCAAGGAATCTCCATACTGCTTTCCATATTGACAGCACCAATTTGCAGTCCCACTAGCAGTGTATGAGTGTACCTTTCCCCCCACATCCTCACCAACACTTATTGTTGTTTGTATTCTTAATAGCTGCCATTCTGATTGGAGCGAGATGAAATCTTAGAGTAGTTTTGATTTGCATTTCTCTAATTGCTTGAGATGCTGAACATTTTTTCATATATTTGTTGATTGATTGTATATCATCTTCTGAGAAGTGTCTGTTCTAAGAACACATTAATTCTTAAATGTTAAACCCTTTGATTTGATATTACCTTTCAACTATAACACAAATAATTTCTTTAAAACCCTTTACTTTTTGTGGGCTGAGGTTGTGACTCAGCAGTAGAGCGCTCACCTTGCATGTGTGAGGCCCTGGGTTGGATCCTCATCACCACATATAAATAAGTAAAATAAACGTATTGTGTCCAACTACAACCAAAAAATAAATATTTAAAAAATAAAACCCTTTATTTAAAAAAAATTAATACTTATTTTTAAAGTTTTAGGTGGACACAATATCTTTATTTTACATTTATGTGGTGGTGAGATTCGAACCCAGTGCCTCGGGCATGCTATGCAACCACTACCACTGAGCCACAACTGCAGCCCAAAACCCTTCACTTTTTGAAAGACATTTATAACTGATTCATAACATCTAAAAATAATCAAAAGTGAAAATGCTCACCGCTGGTTAAACAGATAGACACCATAGTATGTTAATAAACTATATTATAATTTTATTAATAGTAATATTTGTTAATTGTTATAAGAAACAGTAAAATGATAGGTAAAAATATAGGACTCAGAATGGTAGGAAAATAGTGTAATGGTGTAAATACTGGTTGGTTTAGAATATTGACTTCCAATTTATTTTATTTAAAGCTTAAAACATCTTTCAGTTTAACTTTTGTTTTTTTGGATGATTAAATAAAGAAAAGAAAAAAATTTGTTAAAATTTGCAAGTTTTTTTTTTAACCACCACCTGCATTAGCTTGATGATAAAATAGTGAGACATCCAAGTAAGATATTCCAAAAGATTCCACCCTTGCATTTGTTAACAAGGTGGATGCTTTCATGCACTTAGGTTCCAATACACTATTATAAATGATGAATTTCTTTAGGAAAAAAAAAACCTTGCATGATTATTTTTTAAAGTGGAAGCAAAATGCAAGATATGTATTTCACATCACAGGGCCGCTTCTGTCATACTGTGTGTGTGTGTGTGTGTGTGTGTGTGTGTGTGTGTGTTGGAAAATCCAGTGTGAGAGAAGTCTGGTTGGGAGGGGCATAGCAGGGGAGGCCTCTTCTGTTCCATTGATAACATGTTCATTCATAGGGAACAGGCTAAAACAGACTACGCAGTCATTCCCTCCATCCTAAGGCTCTGCCACCTCTCCCAGAACTCGGTAAGTTGAAAGTGCAGTAAAGTGCAGGTTTCAGAGAACTAATCTGAAATCATTTTGTTGATAATTTATTGAAGGGTGGAAAACGGAGGGGTAAAGGAGGAAATTATCAGTAATCATTTTGCTATGTTTGTATGGGGAAGAAAAATCTCAATGTATAAATAGTTTCAAACAGTAAGCTGTTTCTTCCCAGGAAAGCTTTTCAGAGGGGGCCCCTTGCAACTAGGGGAACCAATTTCTAGGAAGTCTGGGGAGGGAAGTTCACAGGTGCATGTGCCTGGGCATAGGGCTGCACAGGGCTCAGTCGGTAGTGGTTTCTGCCTCCATCCGCAGATCCGGGGATGCTCCTCGCCTCGCCTCGCCTCCACTGAAGTACTCAGGGGTCCCAGAAGAGTACAGTGCGGACACCGCGGGCCATGAGTCCTCCGAGACTACAACCGTCTCTCTCGCTGCTGCTGCTGCTGCTGCTGGGCGGTTGCTTCCACGCTGCTGCCCGGAGGGACAAGGGGGCAGCTGGCAGCGTGGTGAAAACGTCCTCTGGCTCTATGGGTGGCTCTTCTGGTCGTTTCATGAGCCCGGAGCAGCACGTGTGCAGCTGGCAGCTCCTGCTGCCCACCCCAGGGGCCACCGCCGGCAGCGAATTGGCGCTGCACTGCCTGGGCCCGGACGGGGCGCGCCACCAGTGTGCCTACCGAGGAAAGCCAGAGCGCTGCGCCGCCTACGGGGCTCGCGGCTCCCACTACTGGAAGCAGGTGCTGGGCGGGCTACGTAAGAAACGGCGGCCCTGCCACGACCCTGCGCCTCTCCAGCCCCGCTTGTGCGCTGGCAAGAAGGGCCACGGCGCCGAGCTGCGCCTGGTGCCCGGCGCGTACCTCCCCGCCCGCCCCACCGCCGCTGGCTTCCCCCGGGAACCCAGGCTAAGGGTCAGGAGCCGGGGGCTGCCCCGGCAGCCTGCGCCCGACCCTGCGGCGGCGGCTCCACCTCCCGCGAACTCGCTGCCCAAGGAAAAGCCCTTCGAGAGGAAGACCAGAGCAGGCAAGAGGAAGGGGACCTCGGGCCCCTTGGAGGAGCGACCCAAGGGGACCGGGACCGGCTCCGAAGGGCTGGAGGAGAACGCACAGCTCACGGAGACCTATTGCGCTGAGAAGTGGCACTCCCTCTGCAACTTCTTTGTGAATTTCTGGAACGGCTGAGGCTGCGGGTCTGGGGAGGGACGTGGGGACAGGTGTGAGGGAAGAGCACGTCAGCGCGGTTGGGGCAGGGAAGCCAAGAGCATCTTAGACCAAGGGGTACCAGGATAGAGTGTGAAGGAGTCCGGATTCTGCAATGGGGCAGGGGAGGGCTGGGAGCTTGGGGTGAGAGTGTAGGGGGGTATGGAGAATCTCTGAAGCAGCAGAAAGGTTTTTTGTTGTTGTTTTGTTTTTACTTTAGAAAAATTAAACAATTTTGAAGTGTCTCGATTTTGATTAAAAGCAGAAGAAATAGTGGAAACAGAAATAGGTGTACATTTAAATATGCAAAAACTGTAGGCTGGGGAGAGGTACAGAGATAGGCTGGGAATAAGAGGCAGATTAGTGATTAAAGTGATGAGACTTCCTCATGATGAGAAGCAGGGTACAATGTACCTTAACAATTTATGAAAAAATGTAACCATGACCAATAGATAATGTACACCAGGCAGAATTGTTCATTGTCTTCTTATCTAATAGCTGATGAGATGACAATTTTTTTTTTTCCTTTTCTGAATTGTCACGACCTTTGGTGTAGCTTAGCATCACAGACCATTTCTATGGAGACAGGTCAAAACTGTCTCCACGAAAAGATTTTCAGGATGATTACCTTTTAAACTAATGTTCTGAAACTTTCCCATTAACCTTCAAAATTCAGAAATGTAGAAGTTGAAGGCTCTAGAAGGTGAAGACAAATAAGTCTCTTTATTTTGATCATCCTTTTAAAAACAGTTAAAATGTGAATATCTCATTTTGACCATTCTCTCTTTCATGTAATTAACTGCTAATGTATTTCAGTTTTAATATGATATAATGATTGACTTTGCACTTTTTAGGTGCACAATAAAAACTGTCTGATTAGATTTAAAGAACCAGCAAGGCAATGGAAATTCTGCTACATTTGACTATTTCCAAGCACACCTTGAATTAAGTTCTCAAACACATCTCGAATCGATCGTGTTTAAGATTACTTCTCATTTTCCCTCCTTCCCTCTTTCTTCCTATTTGGATTAGTTGTCAACATTTAAAAATTAGATAATTTCATATTAAAATCTAGATTTCTGGTTGTCTTGAAAAATGATCTGGGGGCTGGGGATGTGGCTCAAGCGGTTCAATCCTCAGCACTACATACAAACAAAGATGTTGTGTCCGCCGAAAACTAAAAAATAAAATGTTGAAATTCTCTCTCTCTCTTTAAAAAAAAAAAAAAAGAAAGAAAAATGATCTGGCAACACTGGATTTACCTTCTCACAGGGAAACTATTGATTGACAATTGGCTCTTTTCAGATATATTTTCTAGAGTTCTCCATTGTTCCTTCATCTTATGAATCAACTTTATTAATTTATATTACCAGCCTGAGGTCACTGGACATTTAAATCACCCCTCAATATGAAGTTTTTACCTTTTGCTGACCTGTTCTTTTCACCCCTCCCCTTTTAAAATAGTAGTAAATGCAACAATTGCATCCTGATGTTTTCCCTCTCTGACCTGCCTCCAGGAAATGTAAAATATTTTATACTTATTCTATATATTCTTGTATTCACACATTTTTTAAAACATTCAGATTCAACATATTTTCAGGCCAAGCTTATGAGTTCACACTCTTAACATTGACCTTTATATAAAATTCATTATGGCCAAAAAAGGGAAACTTGGGGACCTGGAGACTACTCCCCAAAAATATGGACCAACATACACTTTCTCTAAAAAACTTAGCACAAAGCAAGTGTCCTCAGAAATGGGTATTGAAAGTGAAGCTGCATTGCCTAGAACCATGGCTAGAATTGGGATGTACCTCTCCTAGCTAATTCCTCTGTACCCTTTGACAGTCTGATGACCTTTTCTCTAAGAAAACTCTGTATGCCCAAGAACACAGATGCTACTCCCTGTGCTCCTTTGCTCTTTAAGAAGAGATGTGCTATGACTGTCATGGGAACAAAGAAGGACTGACAGGAGCCAGATGCTTGCAGTGGGAGGAAAATTGACAGATCTTACCATCAGCTTCCTGAATGACCATGGCTAAGTCCTAGAGTCTTCAAGACTATATATTTAGGGGATTGGATTGGGTTAAATCTGAGGTTCCTGAAGTACACTGTTATCATTCTAGAATCCTACACATAGTTTTGCATAGAGATAACAACATGGGAATATCATATTCCTTCATGCTATAGCCCAAGAAGATCATGGACATTCAGAGGAAGGCAGATGAATGGCCAGGGAAATACAGAAGGCTTCCACATCTGGAGCACCTAAAAACATTTGGAAGAATAGACTAGAAGGACGATCCTGCAGTTGGGAGACCTCAGGATCAAAATCTCTAAAATAACAAGGAGATGAACATGAGGAATGTGGGTATTTTCCACTACAGGTGCCATTAGAAATAAAGGGAGACTGTCAGTACAGGGAAAAAACATCAGGATCGTAAGTAGCAAGGGACTGCAGCATGGTCTGTGGGAGGTAGAGAACTTATTACAGACATTGGATCACTTTGTTTTGGTTCTATTTTCCAAGTTACTTAGCGCAGGGGGAACTGGAATTACATTTATGTATTCCAACTCTAGTTTGCCTTTCTGAACACCTTTTTTTTTTTCTTTTTTCTTTTTGGTGGTATTGGGCATCAAACACAGTCCTCACACATGCTAGGCAAGCTCTCCACTACTGAGCTTCATTCCTAGCCTGAACTTATCTTGATTAGGCAAAGTCTTTTCAACCTTCAAGTTTCCTTAAGTTCACTCTTTTTTTTAATTAAGCAATTTATTTTAATTAGGTATATATGACAGCAGAATGCATTTTGACTCATTTTACACAATTGCAGCAAAACTTTTCATTTCAGTGGTTGTACACAATGTAGCATCACACCATATGTGCAGTCATACATGTACCTAGGGTAATGATGTCTATCTCAAAAATATGGAATGCTTCACGATTTGCATGTCATCCTTGCGCAGGGGCCATGCTAATCTTCTCTGTGTCAGTCCAATTTTAGTATATGTGTTGCTGAAGCGAGCACAAGTTTCATTCTTTTGGTTTGCCCTATACACCACCAACATATTCAGCCGACCAAAACATTTTATCTAATGACTCATCTTATGATTTTAATTAAAGATGAGTGTCTTGGGAAACTACATTAGAGCCTAAGGTAAAAGGAAAACTGGTAATAATGATCCTATCTTTATTTGAAAATTCAATATTTTGTTCAATATGGATTGTTTTGCATTGATTTTGATTTTTTTAAATGTTATATTAATATTGCATTTATCTTTATTACTGTGTTTTGTGGGTTTTTTTCCCCTTAGCATTTTGCACCCAAGGCTAGAGCCTTAGCTTACTTCCCTCCTTCTAGTGCTGGCCTTGGGAGGCAGCTCTTGTGAGGTGGGCAAACATCAGTACTGGAGTCAGACAGAACTGGTTTGAATACTAGTTCTGCCTGCCACTTACTCTAGGTTACTTTAAGAAAGTTGTTAATCTGTCTGTTTTACTTTCTTCTCTTGTTAAATGAGAATAGTAGTTAACTTGCAGCATTATCATGAAGAATAAACTGTTTTAAATTAATTATTGCCCAGTACCCAACCAATATTAATTCTTCTTTTCTTAGAGAATGGTAAGTCTAAAAATCAATTAATTAGATGATAAATAAAGGGGTTAAGGATGTAGCTCAGTGGTAGAGTGTGTGCTTAGCATGCATGAAGTTCTGTGTTCAATCCCCAGAACCACAATACACATACACACATATACACAAAATGAGTAGTGTTTAGTATCAAGGAAGGGAGGCAGGCATATCCTGATATAGTATAGTACCTACCTTCTATAAGTTTGAATTTAAGATTATACCATAAAACCATTAGAAAACAACAAAAACAGAAATTAGGTTTCTACATGTAAGAGATTAGGAAAATGAAAGATAAATGTAGGTTTGATTATCTGGGAAGGCTGTTCAGGAATTATTTTATTGTGCACATATGCTAGTTTATCTGCAAGATGCATACATTGAATTCATGGGTTAAAGGATATATGCTCTTAGGTTTTTGAAAGATATTGCTATATTGTCCCCATCCATAACATTGTACAACTGAAACTCCCACGAAAACATTTTCATTAAACATTTTTTTTTTAAATACACAAGTATAAAGAGTAAAATATAAAAATCCTTCCATATCTTCTTTGGTCCCCATACAGCCTCCACTCCACAGAAGTCACCAATAACTATTGCAACCTGGTATAAGGTTTTTTTTTTAAATAAAACCTTTGTATATAATAGATATTCAGATCACCTCTCTGTGGTCTATGGCTGAGGTTCTTAGGAGCTATTCAAATCTTCATCCTGTGTTCTATTTAATTGTATAAATGTATTTATGTTTTTAAATATATTGGTTTATATTCTTTTTGCATAAATGAAGTCATAATTAATTTTTCACATGATAATGTAGTTTGCAGCAGTTGGTTCTTATTGTTTTCATTTGTACATAATATTAAGAAATAATCACAAAATCAAAATTGCCTGTGCACTTCCACAAGGTTTGATTCTATTCTTATACTTCCTTAAATTATAATTATATTAGTTTCTAGGGTTGCTGAAACAATCACAAACTGGGTGGCTTAAACCACATAAATTTTTTGTCTCATGATTCTGAAAACTACAAGTTTGAGATCAAGGTGCCTGCAAGGGTTAATTTCTTCTGACAGCTGTGATAAATCTATTTGGCGTTGTTTGGCTTCTATCTGTGACATTTTCCCTGTGTCTGTCTTCAAATTCCCCTCCCCCCTTTTAAGTTAAGACATGGGGTCTCACTATGTTGCTCAGGCTGGTCCAGACTCCTGGGTCCAAATGATTCTCTAGCCTCCTGAGTAGAGCAGTAACTCCCCCCCACTTTTTTTTAAATAAAGACCCAAGTCCTGTTGGATTAAAGGTCCATCCTACTCCAGAATGACCTCATATTAAATAATCACATCTGCTACAACCCTA